CCACCCAGGCTCGATCCCCCTACCTCGGACGAGGATCCTTCGGCAATAATCCGGATCAGCGGGACTCGATTTACTTTTACTGCAGTCTTCGGAGACGCCGGAGGCTGAGAAAGTCCCCTGTTGATCCTTCAAAAAAGAAGCCGGGATATTCCCTTCGCATCCTTTGCTTTCCTTGCCCTCTTTATGTCCGTTCTTGGAGACCCGGGTGCCTTCGATCTCGGGATTGCATCTAACGTCCATTTTGTCTTGTTTCCCAAACATATAGTGCAATATGGGTTTTGTTTAAAAAAAAAAAAAAAGAAAAAAGGGAGAGAGAGAGGGAGCGAGAGAGAGAGAGAAGAGAGAGGGGTGGGGTGGGGTGGGGGGAGAAGTCCGCGTCGGGTATTGCACAGTTGATGGTCAGCTCGGCGAGCGGCAGCCAAGTCCCTCGAAGGCGAGAGGTCGGTTCTGATACACCCAGGCAGGAAACCAGCCGCTTCCTCAATCCCAGCGTCCTAGTGCGAGTGTCCAGCTTCCCTGAGCCCCAATGATCAGGTACTCCACAGTGCAACTCTAAAATGATTTAATGCCTGCCTTATTACCGAGAGGGATGTAGTTGTTAGACACCCAGAGGGACGCGCACTGGCTGTTTCAATTGATTACGGGTAATTTTGCAGCCTCCACATTTAGGTTACCTCATGAATACACTAAATTGTTTGGATAATATATCACATCGTAATGGGTGGTTTGTATGCTTGTCCCCAATCAAGTCGAGTTTAGCCAGTGAATAAACTGAAATGATTGGCCTTGCTTTCAGGAAACACACAATCAAAAGACTGAGACTTCCAGGAGAAGGGGGAAAAAACTTTTGACAAGATTCAGCCTGAATTGTTCGGAGCCATTAGCAGCCATTATTAACTTTCTTCAGTTTGCCTTTGACCCTTGCAGATTACAGGGTGGTTTTAGCCAAGACACGCCTAATACATATGAACAAAGCTATCAAGGAACCGGGTGTGTGTGTGTGTGTGTGGGAGATACACACATACACGTAACCCATGAAGCTGGAGAAAGGAATCTTTCCCCCCCTCCCCGCCCCCCGAGAAGCAACCGAGTCGCCACCAAAGAAACACCAACAACAATTTTTATAGAAAGTTTCCCTTAGCGTGGCTTGATCCTAGAAAACGGGTTTGTTCTGCCAAGTAGCGAGAATCCTTCTCCGCACTTATCTCCACAGCCAGCCATCTTAAACTCCGACCTCTCTTTAATTCAGTTCGGATACTTGCGTGTTCATCCCCTCCCCCCCCCCTTCTACACATTTGCAGGGGATGGGGGTGTGCGTGCGTGTGTTTTAAAAACCCTTGCTTTGTATCCAGATGGATCCAGGAGGGAGGATAGGGAGAGCGAGCCAGCAGGGGAGATCTCGACTGCGTGATCTACTAAAGGGGGGGGGGAGAGTTTCCCCCGAGCTATTTCATTGTGTCTGCTACAATATCTTTGAGAACCGCAACAGCCAGTAATCCAATAAGACCATTGATTAGGCTACAATGATTCAATTCAAGCGCATGGCTTTGTGCAAAGAGCATGCTCCAGCCTTTCTTGTCACCTTGCAGGGCAGAAGCCCTCTTCATGCTGCTCTCCTTATTCATTCCTTTATGGGAAATGTAGAGCGAAAGGAGTGAAAGATGGCAATTATCTAATTGGACTATTAACAAACAATTCTCCGAGTGTGGCTGTCTGGCATTAGTTCTTGGGCGGGGTGAAAGGCCACATGTTGCACTGGCCCCATTCACAAAAGAGTTTTAGGGGCCAGGCGAGAGAAAGAAAGCGAGGGAACTTTTCACACAAAATCAAGGCATCTGAGTTAGGCATCCTTCCCTGGGCTCTCAGACTCAAGGCTGGTGGGTTGAAAGGGGGGTGGGGGGAGGCTGTTAACTTTCTGGAAGGGGGAAAAAATATATATTCTCCAGCTACGGAGAAAGAGGGGGGAGGGGACTTCAACTACACCTTGGTTATATATATTTAAGATCTGCAGGTGAAAATAGGCAAAGTGAGATAAATTCTTATAGGAAAGAAAACGGAACAATATTTCTTGAAACCAGCTGAGGACCCTCTTGACCGAGCAATTCATGCACCTCGTCTTAACAGCCAAGGCAGAGAGAGAAGTTCTTTCAGTAACTAGCTGCCTGACAACTGTGGGGTTGTTGTTGGTTTTTTTTGTTATTGTTGCTGTTCTGAAAAAAAAACAAGGCCTGAGAGCCTCTTCACATGATCATTTGGGCACGTGGATACCAACTGAAAACCTTGTACATTCTGGCCCCAGCCTGTAGCAACTTAGTCCTATGCACCATTTGCCACATGAAATACTTGGTTTCCAATGTGTGTGTGATAGTGGGGTATGTCCATTCTGTTTGCCTTGGTTATGGGCTGCTTTGTGCTTGGTTTTCCAAGCAAACACTTCCAGACGGCTGTGTGAAGGGCACCTAGGAGAGCCACACTTTCTCAGGGACTGCCACACGTCTTGTTCAGACTCAGATAAGACTGATATAGGATGATTTTAATTCCCTTTAGAATATACAATATGTATTTAATGGGACATTTTGTATTATTTTTTATCCAAGTCATTATTTTTATTGCTACCCACTCAAGATATCTGGATGAGATGTGTTAGACAATGATATAAACATTTCATATTCACATAATCCGAAATCATAACATCATACCAATAATTGATTTGTGGTCTTACTGGGAAAAGGTGAGGCATATGAATGGTTGTTCCTTAATATGCGATGAATCTGTTCATTCTATCAGGACGATTCATGTGTGGGAAAAGGTTTCTGCACAAGGACTGCAGAAGGTCTTGCTTCTATGAACTAGGTTTTCTCATCTAGATATACTCTACTTTTCTGCATAGTTAAACATTAGTTATGTGAACCATAGCTTTTAGCCTCCTCATTAACCAGATTCACAGCATCCATTATGTACATTGTATATTAGTATACTAGACTTTGACCTTTAGATTTTTCCTGGTTATTCAAATCAAGGACATATACAGTTCTCATGGACAACATCAACAATTATTCTGGTAATATTTTCCTATATTCCTATATCCCACAGTCATAAGGTGATTTAGAACTGGTTCATGCATGCATATATATCACTTGATTTGTCATTCCCTAATTACCCAGCATTTAAGGATGGCTGACAAATGAATATGGAAGTGCCCCTGTGGATGCCATGGTACCCATCAGTGTGCTTCCTGGTGCTCACTTCTTTCTTCCATTTCTTTTCTAAAGCAAAAGGCCGATTCTGGCTTCCCTCCATTTCTTTGGAGCTGAAAGAAAAACCTAGGAGGCATCATTCTTGTGTCTGCAGGGAGCATCCATTTGGAAACAGTGGTCTCCATCACAGGAGGATGCTGTGGAACATCTCAACACTTTATGACTGGCCCCAGCCCTCATTTTGGGATTGGTCCCATCTTCTATTGGGCTCGTAGCTATGGTGGGGCATTTTAGGGCCACATACCCTCATGTTACAGCCACACCCCACAAGTTTCCATGCCTGAAAATAGGATTTTGATTTTTATTTATTTTGGAAATTTACTCATCTAAATCATGCCACAGCTTAACCTGCCCATGACTGTATTTTATCATTTTCATTGCCCTGCCCATGATTGTATATCTTTATTTCAATCATGCCGCACCACGCCCTGCCCCCTGTGACCTCGCCAGCTCTGCCCTTGGATTGCTTGGTGGCACAGTGTGGCTCATCCTGATGACCTGGACCCCGGTAGGAAGGACAGTGGTGAGGGGACGGTGATTCAGAGGCACAGTTGTGTCCAGCACATGTGCATGGGGTTTTCTCCCTGTCTCTGTATATATGTGTTTTGTGCTCTCCCCTCTATCTTTCTATCCACTCTCCCCTGCTGCCACCACCCCATGCGTTGAAAAGGCAGCAGTGCTCCCCAGCTGGTGGCCACTCACTGCAAAGCTGGGGAGTGTGGAAGATGGAAGATGAAGTGTGTGTGTGTGTGTGTGTGTGAGTGATGGGGACATAGTGGCAGGACAAGGCAATGCAGGAAGGGGGGAGTGTGAAAAGGAGGAGGGGGAGCCAGCAGCACTCCAGCCATCCCTTATATGAGACACAATCTCTGGACCTTTTGGCACAAGATGCTTTGTGAAGCAGGCTGCACACACGCGAGTGCCACAAGCCTCCTTCAGTTCCAAAGAAAAGGGAGGAGGAGGGAAAGCCATTGGAGCTCATTTGCTGCCTTTGCAAACACTTACCCCCACACCTTTAACTTAACTTTAATTCAGTTAACTGCCCCCTAAGGAATTTAAATGCCCCCCAATGGAAAAAAATCCTGGCTACAGGCCTGTCCTCCATGCAGCCATTTTCTGATGGTGTCCAAAATACCCAAAGTATCCCATAGGTTCAACAAGGTTGAGGACCCCTTGAATATGTGTGCTGACTTGGTTGAATAGCATTGCATTTGCAGTGATACCATACCCCATAGCCAGGGATCCCATGGGATGATATTCTTATTGTGATAACAGTCACACCACTCCAGTCTTTTAATGTTGTGAGGCTGCTGAAGAGACAAGGGAAACTGCTCCTAATCCATGCATTAATGTTTCCTACACTTTTGTTGGTATCATAGATGGATGCTTGTAACAGCTAAAAGGCAGAAGTACCTGATCAATCACATGTTCATGGACATCAAGGGGGGTACGTAATTGCAATATTTCTTGGAAAAGTAGGGAATGGTGGACCAGTGGCCAGCTTCCTATAGAGACGCCTACCGCAAGTCCCTTTGGCACAGACCTCCCTTCCTTTCTACTCCCCTCTTTGCCTCAGGATTGGCAAAGAGTTAGCAGTACCCCTCCAATGCTCAGATTTGGACCAGAAGGAATCAGATGTAACAGAAATGACAATTATCTGGTTTCGATAGCAGATTAAGACAATTCACACAGTGGGGATTCTTCATTTGGCATGCATTGCCACTGGAAATGCAGAGACATTCACATTGGCAATGGAGTGTCCTCACAGTTTCCCCCCTTTCCTCTGCATTCCCCCACCTGCTGTGCCATGACAGGGCATTTGAAGGCTTTAAAAATGTTAATTGCTATACCACTATAGCTTTATAGCCCTATAACAATTACCAGTTCTTTTTTCAAGAAGCCCTTAGGTGACACCGTGGTAAAAATGGGGGCTGCAATGGGCTGATGGAAGGAAAATGATTCTTATATGCAGGACTTTTGAAAATGTGCAACTTCCTGTCCAGA